CACACACACACACACACACACACACACACACACACATACACACACCAAAAATATAAAGTAAAGAGTAAGCTAATATCACGTCTGAAAACTCCAGTACAAAAAGTCCACATCGCGAGACACACGAGCCAGGTTATCAGCTCGGTATCACTTCCCCATAAAAAAAACAGATCACTCACATCGCGCCACTTAGGTATTTACAAACCAAAACTAAAATCTTAGCCAGGAATTACCCCCCCCCCCCTCCACTTCCCGCACACACTAAAGCTGGTACTTTGTGTTACATTTTATTTCGTTTTGGGTGGTTTAGATTTTTTTTCTTTCTTTTTTTGGGCGGGGAGGGAAGGGGAGGACTTTGTTTTCGACTCTTTATTTTTAGGACAGTTATTTTACTGTTTTGTTCCCATGTAAAATGTTTCAAAACAAATGTAAAACAAAAAGACAAAAACTCCATGCATCAAGTCCCAGTTTCCACGCGCCTCTGCCCCCGCGTCTTGCCCCTGGCAAGAGGAAAGGGGTGATGGTGTCTCGAAAACCGCAGGAAAGATCGTAAGAGGAGACTATTTTGGATTCCCAAGCCCAGGCAACGTGACAGGGATAAACAATCAGACGCCTCGCACGGGAAAGCCAGACCCGTAAGATATTTTGGCAGGACCGACTATTGAGCAGAACATAATATTATCATAAGCAGGCGGCCGGTTCATCACGCCCAGTGTGAGCGGCTTGGCACAGACACTACAGCTGGACAAGCACCCATTTCCGGATAAACCGGGTCTCAACTCGCACTCATTTCAAATAACGGACATAGAACAAGTTGCCATCTGCTGGTCTCTAAAAGAGGTTTATAAGAAAAACAAGTTACCCAAATATCAGGCACATTTAATCAGTATACCACAATGAAACTGTATCCGAAAAACAGGCAAAGAAAAAAGTAATTCTATTCGACAATCAAGGTTTGTACACAAAACAGCACATTATGTTCATTCTCTCAAAATCACTACCTTGTGCTCTTTTTAGAAAGAGTTTTAGAAGGAGTTTTACGACACTGCAACAAATTATTGTCACATAAGTGCCGAAGATTAGGGGTATCACAAGAGAGTAACAAAACGCAAGGAAAAGAGCAGAGCTGAGAGATAAAGACGATATATGTGCATTGAGCAATAAGTTTCTTCAAAAACTTGCGTACTACCATAATGTCAGCAAATGACTTGGCCCCACCAGCCTCCCTAATGTCAGTACTTACACTGCAATTAAACAGCAGGTCTAACCAGAAGACAAAGAGCCCAGGGGGGGGGGGGGTGGATGGTGGGTGCTCTGGGGCGGTTTGCTCCTTTCCTATCAAACATCTAATGCCCTTTTTTTAATATCTCCTCCTGATTTTCTTAGTATGTTACTCTCTCATCTTCAGCACCTATATGACCAATTTGTGTTGCAAATGCTGTAAAACTCTTACAAATTACTAAAACGAACCAAAAAGTCTAAGAGAGAAACACACACCTTTCTGTGAAATAGCCGAAAACACAACGACCAAAAGAAGTAATATGCAGGTGTATTACAACCCCCCCACCCCCTGTAAAAAGAAACCAAAAAGAAAAAAAATCAACACAATCAGATAATTCAGTTTGCTTCGGCCTTGCTTGTCACGCCAATCCAGGCTGAGAGAAACACAAAGTCCCAACAGACGGAAGGAGATACTCGATGAGAAACCTACCCACGCAGAAATTGACCTAGCATCTTCCGCGTGAAACGTCGAATCGTCTTTCCGCTTCACCAGGGACACCAGCATAAAAACGACTCAGAATAACAAAAACAAACAAACACTAAGTTAAACAAACACTCTGTGAACCAGCTAAGAGTACCTATGTTTTTATATGTTGGTAGTGAACCGGATAACTGACTCACGACAACTTTCCAAGAAATAACCGGCTAACCGGATCGTAAAATCGGATTGACCCCCATCTTTTTACCAACAAGACACCGGCTGTGTACCTGGCGGGATGGCCCACACAGCTGACCGGGGGCTCTGACACACAAGGAGATGGGATGACGTTGGGCTTTTCGGTTTCAGCCCTTATCCACACTTTATAAAGAAATATTTGACGGACCTCTCAAAACTTTTCGAACAGATCTCTTACTTCGCGTTACACCAGAACAACTGCGGTTAATTATTTTACCAGGAAGTAGATTAGGACAATAATAACATTGACAACAAAGTGGAACAACAAGACAACAGACAGAACAGCGTTTTCCTTCCCCTCCACCCCCCCCCCCCCC